CCGTTCCCGTCTTCTTATGGGAACCAATACATCCTGGTGGCGGTCGATTATGTCACCAAGTGGGTAGAAGCGATGGCGAGTCCCACTAACGACTCGAAAGTGGTGACGAAGATGTTCAAGAGGGTGATTTTTCCGAGGTTCGGGACGCCAAGGGTTGTGATTAGCGATGGAGGATCTCACTTCATCAACCGCACCATAGAAGCACTTTTGAAGAAGTATGGTGTGAGACATAAGGTGGCTACCCCGTATCACCCTCAGACGAGCGGACAAGTTGAAGTCTCAAATAGGGAGATCAAGGCGATACTTGAGAAGACGGTGTCAAGGTCAAGGAAAGATTGGGCATCCAAGCTCGATGACGCTCTATGGGCGTATAGGACAGCCTTCAAGACACCCATCGGTATGTCTCCCTTTCAACTTGTCTATGGGAAAGCTTGTCACTTGCCGGTTGAGCTTGAGTATAGGGCATATTGGGCGATCAAGAAGCTGAACTTTGATTGGAAATCCGCTGCGGAGAAGCGAGTGTTGCAGCTTCACCAACTCGACGAGATTCGGTTAGACGCCTATGAGAATGCCCGGATTTACAAGGAGAGAACAAAGAGATGGCACGATCGTCGGATTTTGCAGAGGGATTTTAGAGAAGGTGATCAGGTACTTCTCTTTAACTCAAGGCTCAAATTATTTCCAGGCAAGTTGAGATCGCGTTGGTCGGGGCCTTTCACGATTAAGCACGTCTACCCTCACGGAGCAATAGAGCTATATGGCTATGGAGGGGACACATTCAAGACCAACGCACAGAGGTTGAAGGTTTACAACCCCGGGGAACACGACAAAGAGAGGAGCTCGATGAGCTTCTCTGATCCTCAAGACGAGCGAGCAACCCCGCGGTCAAGCTTAGGACCATAAATAAGCGCTCTCGGGAGGCACCCCGAACTTGTATATATCCTTTTTAGTATCCTTTTTGCATTACACGTTTATTTCTTCTGCATACAAAGAGAGGAGCTCGATGAGCTTCTCTGATCCTCAAGACGAGTGAGCACCCCACGGTCAAGCTTAGGACCATAAGTAAGCGCTCTCTGGAGGCACCCCGAACTTGTATATATCCTTTTTAGTATCCTTTTTGCATTACACGTTTATTTCTTCTGCATTGGGAACTTAGATACATGATGTGATGATGCGATCTTGATGTTGCTTATGTCTATGCTATGATTATATCAGTTTCACTTGATCTTCTCTCTTTCCGAGTTTTGATTTTGGAAGGTGAACACTATCGAGCAACCGAGACGACGTGCAATGTGGAATCATTCGCAAGTGGAATGCGGGGAGGCATCTTTCATCCTTGGACACAAGGTCATACACTCACTTTCTCCTCCTATTTCGCTTAGCTCCAAATTTCCTATTCCACATATCCGCCCCTTCGGATTTGTGTGACACCGCGGACGGTGTCTCGTTCAAGTCTGGGGGGGTGCGCATCTAACATCGCTTCAAGTCCCTTTTAGAGTGCATTCATACATTCACTTGCACACACAAAAAAAAAAAATGATGATTTCTCACTATAGATGCATTCCACACTTACATTTCTTGCACTTGTACATATAGACACCACTTAGTCTTGCATTGCATTTGTTACATATAGGTCTAGAACATGTAGAAGCATATGCATTGCATAAACCGTTTTGAGTTGAGATTGGTCGATGATGATATGATGGTGATAGCTGCTTAGAGACTGCTTAGCGATTTGGACTTAGACCTCTAGGTGTTCGAGTAGATTGTCGATGATAGGTGAATAGCGAACCCTCTCTTCGATGCTTGCGATTATAGGTTGTGGGGTATATTGTTGTCTTTAGGTATGCCAAAGAGTAGGACCGACCGAACCTAAGTTAAATATCTCCCAAAAACCGTTCCCGAAGCTTCTCCCATAGGATAGATAGTCTCTTGGAAAGAATGAGTGGTACGAATAAGCCAACACTCCGCTGTCACTATATCGTTAATGAAAATCATTCGATGACATGAGTGCGTCGAAATTCGACGGTTCGGGTCTAAGTTGTGGGACAGTGTCATGATCATTAGAGAAAAGCAAAAGCAGAGACACTTGTCAACTTCAACGTCCTAGGAACTCGGGATAGTACTCCTCTTAGCATTTTCTTAAAAGGAAGAAGAAAAGAAAAGAAAAGAAAAAGTGACAAAATAAATGAAGAGATAACATATCTTAGAGGAGGAAAACGGTAAATAGGTTTAGGAGAGTGCTTAGAGGTTGGAATCACTCTTATGGTAGACTAGGGACGACATAGAAATCCCACACTTAGGAAAGTTTAGCTGACAAGAGAGGATAGCTAGAGTAGCCTAGATTCGATTCTACTCCCATAAGTTGAGCAGTGGATATGTAGCTAGATCTTGAAACTCATCAAAGACCGATTTCTAACTCACCGTCCTTCTCAGACTTCGTGTTTCATTGATTTTATTTGCTCGAGGACGAGCAAAGATTTAAGTCTGGGGGGATTTGATGGCTCGGATTTTATCTAGATTTTATACGAGTATGCCTTTGGTTTCTAAACGGTTT